AACTCCCGGCTGCCGTTGTGCAGCCTTTATCTCCTGCGACAGGTGCTGTGTAACCTTAAGAGATCTGACTGGGGTTGGGGGGGGGCTCTTTGTTTTTGTTTTAAGGAGTTAGGCAAGCATAGCTTTAAAGAGCAAATTAAAAGTGCAAGTTCCCACACCGTGTGCAGTAGAAAGTTTCTGATTGTCTTCTCTGTGTTATAGATGAAATGTTTTTCATACGCTGAACTCCACCTTGGATTGTCTCATTGCTGCGCGTTCAGAACTTCATAAAAAGTAGGAAGTCAAAATGAAGAGCAGAGTGACACAAGTAAATGTAAGTGTTCTTAAACCTGAATTACGAGGTTTGATTATTCCCTTATTACTGGTGATTAGGTTTGGAGTTGATGTTGTGTTGAATAAAGCTCCCTGAATGTAGAGCAAACGATATCCATAATTGACAGTAGCTGTTTACAAGAGAAATAGTACTGTGAAGTCAGTGAATTACTGTTGTTTCTAATGCCTGTTGTCCTAACAATGGAAGATCTGATAATTATTAACATATAATGATGAAGTAATTGGTGAAAAGTGAGTGAATGAATGATGGCTCAACAAAGAACATAAGCATGTGGAGGTATGGAGAAAAGAGGTGTTGAAAAATTAACAGTGATGTTAAAATGAAAAGATAAAGTGGCAGGAAGTAGCAGTTAATGTGGCAACTGTATTTCTTCCTGTGAAAGTTAAAGCTTTCCATTTTAAAAGCTGGATGGTACATTTCTGAATGGATGGGAATGATTTTTAGGAATGCAAAAAGAAAAAATTTAGTTTAAAATTACTCACCTAAAATGATGGTTTAGAAATGCTACGCTTGTAAAGTACACTAAATTTGGGACAGATTAGCAGAGCAATACTCTTCTGATACGCTGTCTCAAATCTATGGTATTTCTCTGCCTGCATTTCTAGAGTTCAACCCTGCATAGGCTTCTTCGCTCTTTTGGTTCCAACTTCTCTGACTGAAGTGTTTTTTTAATAGGGATGCTTGAGGGATAGTTTGATATCTTCTCATATCTTCCCAGTCTGGTGGTTATGGTAGTACTCCCTCATCTGTCAAAATAAGCCAGTTAGCAAAAGCATGCTGTTTGGACACTTTCTGTTAATAATTTTGATCAAAATGGACAAGGGAGAAGACTAACTTGTGGCAGAAAGCCTGGTCATGAAGAGCTGAGGGTGACGAGTTCTTCAGCAAACATGACCCCTTTTGCAAGGGGACATGAGAATTGCCAGATACAGAGACATCTGTAATATTGTTTTATTTCTGTGAACACTTGTCTTTTTGGGTCTGCTTGGGCAAAAGCAGATGATTAAGAACTGATGGATCATTCCAAAAAGACCCACCTCTTCCCATCTGCTAAATATTACTCAGATACAGTAACTGTTCTGTGTTTTTCAAAGATTTTTATTACCGTTTTCTTGGAAGCTTAGGTTGTGGTCTTGCATTATATTATTTTGGGGAAAAAACCCAACAACTTAAGGACTTTTTTTAACCTTGAATGATTTCAATGATCTGAAATATGGTATAGTCCCACAAACGAGTATTGAAAGGGAAAGAAAACCATGGTGAAAACACGGGAATTTCTTGTACTAGCTTTGCCATCAAAGATAATGTTACTCTGGAATTAAATTGTCAGATGGATGTTCTTTTGTAGGGATGCATACTCCCAGTAAATGATGCAGTGCGTTTGTTTTGTACCATTGTCCTGGTTCAGGCAAGATAATACTGGGAGGAATTTTAACACGGTGTTAGAAAAGTACCCTAGAGAAGACTATATGCTGGGATATGTTACAGTGGCCTCAACTGTAAATGTATATTTACATTATACCAATTTGAGTGATAGCAAGTCAGCCTCATTGGTCTATTGATAGGATGATGCTCATAATCTTTGTGTTGCTGTTGTTTCTTTAGGAAGCCTCAGTCAACGTTGATTTTACTTGCACAGCTCATTGTAAACACCACACTTGCCATTTAGTAAAGATACTTCTCTTTCTAATTAAGTTTTTGGAGATCATTTGGTATAACTGTCCATCAGGGTCTGCTTATAAAGGAGGTGTCATTGTATTCTACTAACCAACAGTTTCAACTGGTTCTTTGGTGGGGCAAAAACTAGTGTGCCAGCATGTTCATGGATAGAATGCCACTTCAACACATGAGATGAATATTTCTGCAAAAAATTCAGTCAAGGTGCATAAGCAAGTCCTTGTGTTGAGTTTCTGCATCAAGGTGAAGCGTTACCCATTTCTCAGCTGATCACTGGCTGATAACATGAGGTAATGGTTCTGAAAAATCATAAATAATCTTTTAAGGGAAGAGAGGACCCTTACAATGAAAGTGTAGAGGTCATAAAAGCTGCTTCTTACTGTACCAAAGTAGTTTTGAAACATCTTGATGACGTCAATGTCTTTCTGTGTGTGTTGTAGATGCTGTCATATTGCGATTTTTGTGTATGACTCCGTAATTCTGTAGGTCATGGTTCAGACTACAGAATTTGCTGTGAACTATTTAAGTGTTTATCACTTAAACAATCCTACAAACTTAAATTTCAAAAATCTAGAATTAAATTTACTTCCAGGATCTGTCACATGGAACAGTGTAACTTAGACGTTTATAACGTATGAAGCTAGGCATGACTCATGAGAAAATAAATCATGGTTAGTAAAAAGGAGAAAGGTAAGGAAAAATTATGCAAGAAAGGGGATCTTTAGGAGGGAGGAAAGACACTCTTCAAACAAGAAGTGGTAAAATTCTGTTAATGGTATTGCACGTGATTCAAGGAAGTGTAAAATGGCGTATGGAAGAAGGAAGCAGGAAAGGCAGACCGAAGGTCCATCTATTCTAGTCTCCAGCAGTAATCGACAGCAGATGCCTTGAAAAGTTTAGGAACAGTGCAGCCATAAAAGTATTCACCCGCATACCCTCCTAGTCTCTGCCTATTTGCAGCTTCCTGAGCCAGATAATTTCTTTGGTAACGCATGTGAATTTTTCTTCAGTGTTTGTCCAGTGTCTTGAACCCATGTAAGCATTTGGCATCTGCAGCATCCTGTAGCAGAGGTTCCAGCTGCTGAACTACTTGTTATTTAGAACCAGCTCTCCTTGTCATAACTGACTGTCGTTAGCTTTATTTGATGATCCTTGCTTCTTGTGAAGGAGTAGGGAACCAAAGACATGGAATGCTTTGATCTCAAGATATATGCGCTCATAGTAATTAACATACAATGTTGGAGCTTGATTTTTCTTTCTGTTTTCTTAAAGCATGGTTCCAGTTACGAAAGGAAGGAAAACTACAGTTCACGCCAAAGAAGTTTGTCTCCAGAGGACAGGTAGATTGATTTATTTTTATACCCTATAATTCTGTATATATTACCTCATATAGGGAGTTAGATAAGTTAAAAAAAAAAAAAAGAGGTTTCTGTTTCTTTTTATATATTACCATAACTGAGCAGTGAAAAATAAGTGTAGGTTTAATAAAATACTTGAATGTCAATATAGCAGTAATTAAATAGATTTGTTATTAAAACTGAGTCTTTAAAAAATCCTTAGCGTTCAGTTACATTGTCACGGGACATGAAAATGGAAATTAGATGCCAGCTTTTTGCTTGGACTTGCATATTGCTGATACCACAATTGTCACTTTAGAGCAAGATTATTGATGCCAGCAGGAGGTGGAGAAATATCATTTGAACTGCAATCTACCGAGGCATGAGATGAACTGTTACCAGTTTACTTTTATTTTTACATTTTAATTGGAATGAAACCTCTTGTACTAAACACAATATTTTTTTCTAATAGTGTCTATTCTGTTTCATGCTACACAGGCAAAAAGTAGGTGAAACGAATGCTGTGTTCCAAGGAATGCACAGTGCTGAATTTACCTTTGGTATTTGATGTTACTACCATTTAGCATTTAATTTTAAGTTCTAGGAGGAGCTTCCTTTTACAAGAGTGCTTCTCTTGATTTTTGATTATTTTTTGCTGACAACAAATTATTATAAAAGGAGCATCTTCTATTTGAATGATGTGTATATTGAAACTCATGTTGCAGAATTGGAACAGTTAGCATATATGTAACATTGCATTGCAAGTAGATATTAATAGCATTGCTTTTCTAAGCCTATTACTAAGAATTTTGTGTGTTGGGTTGCAAATAGGGATATAGAGCGTGACAGGTCTCCATCTCCCAGAAAGAGAAGGTACTCTGATGACAGCAGATATGATCAGGAGTATTCAAGAAGGGAATACTATGATGACAGAACTTCAGAAGGAAGGTAAGTATCAAGCCCTTTCTTAATCAGTAATAAAATACTCATTTTAAAGAATAAAACCTGAAAACTTTTCATGAATGCTTGGGTGTTTTGTGGGTTTTTTGTTGGGTTTTTTTTTGGTTTTTTTTTGGTTTTTTTGTTTTTTTTTTTTTTTTAGAAGGATGGAAAGGGGGAGAGAAAGACACCATGAGAAATGGGAGGAAAGAGAATCAGATCGAAGGAAGCAGAGAAGATATTCATCACCTGATCATAGGAGTCCAGAGAGGTCGGCAGTCCAGAGCTCACTTGCTCATGATGAGACCACTTCAAAGAAGAAGAAAGAAGAAGTGGATCCAATCCTTACTCGCACAGGTGGTGCGTATATTCCGCCTGCCAAGCTCAGGATGATGCAAGAGCAAATCACTGATAAAAATAGGTGAGTTGAAAGTAACGTATTAGAATTTTTACTGAAAGGTTTTAGTGAAGGTTGGTGAAAATGGGATACCTTTTGAGGGCTGTGATCATTCTTTTGAAGGTATATTTTTATCGGAAGAAGGGTAAGAGAATCAGATTATGACTGTACCTGCTTCTGCTGCAAAGTGTAAATGGAAAAGTGGGATACAGAACATAACCAGGGATTTTTTGGAATATCTTAGAAAACTGAACATACTGTATCGCAGAGAATTACATTTTGGTATATCATGCAGGTTCAGTGATTTCCTAGTAGTTAAATATATAATTGTGAACTAGTCTTCAAATTTATGCAGTGAATATTTTCTTACCTATTTTATTTATTTATTTATTACAGTTTACATTCA